CAGCTGGTTGTTGGGCATACGTAAAACATGTCCCAGCCATCTCCACTGAATAAGATTCATTACTCCATCAATTCTTGACACTAGTATACAAGAGCGATGGTTTTAAGACATTTAGTAAACAACGAATATCCTTTACTCTTACTGTCCATGTTTCTCAGCTATAAAGTAGGACAGATAGAAGTGATGCTCAGCAAACTCATCCTTTGGTTGGTTTACGGATATCTCACCTACTCCATAAATGGTGCAAGTTGGCAAAAGCCAGTCGAGCTTTTTGTATCCGTGCCGAGATTTCATCACACGTCAGGCCATATTTCTCGGCTTCCTAACACTTAGGTTGTGTTGCATTGATTTTCAAAACCAACTAATTTTCACACATTGATCAAACCAAACATATATCTACTCGGTCCTTTGAATTTATGAATTTTTGCTGACAAAATTAACTCAATCAAGATGAAATTTGATTTGAATTATTATTGACTTCAATCAATTTTAACTAAAAAAAAACAGCGTTTTCATTCTCGGTTATGAATTTAACTAAAAAATTCTAATCATATCTGTCCTTTTTAAGTGGTTTTTGAAAAATTCATTAGTAAACAGAATTTGCACTGCGAAATTGTATTTTTTTTTCTGTAAACAAAGAGAAATAACAGTCTATTAAATAAGGTTTAGCTAATTTGTGTAGTACGTTGCTATGCCAAAATGAAAATTAGCTAAAGTATAAACTAATAATAATAATAATAATAATAATGATTATTACTGTTACTATAATTGTTACTTAGATTAGTGTAGATTTGTAAAACATAATTATCTTAGTGAAATCATGAATCGATCAATGTTAAACCAGCATTTGAAACTTGGAACTATTGGACTACCATTTCATTCTAGTATGGAATACATCAGCAATGCGCAACCATGACCTCGTGACCTGGAATCGAACTTAAGGTCGCCCATCTCAGACGCAATCACTTCACCTCTTGCCATCATTAATCATCTTTGGCGGTTACCTACCTCACACCTGATATGGTTGAGCTTCAATGGTCATATCTTTTTATTAGAACCTCGATGGTTACCTTCTAAACTAATCACTAGTATATAAACGGCTGTTACTATTTTTGTGCATCTGTAAAGGTTATCATTTTTTGTGACAGGGGCATCAATACATACAATTGATGAATCCTATACTTGAAAGAAACGAAACTGGTATACATTAGTTTGTATACGAAAGTGCTAACCAATGCAGCTATTGATTTGCGGTAGCTACTTACCAGCTTTAATTAATTATTTTGACAGTTTCACAAAAGATCAACTATCCTACAGCACAGCCAATGTATTATGTTTAACCTTGATTTGACTTACCTAAAACATGTAACGATCAGTCAACAAGCCTCAGATACGTTTTTTAACCATTCTAAAATTGATAAACGTTATTTTTGGGTAATTCATTCAGTCTGTGGATAGTATTCGTCACAGATTGGTCACAGTTTATATGTTATAGGTTGTGGAGCTGTCATTGTACTTCAAAACAACGTGATCACTACAAACTTCAAGCAAAAATGAAGTATTTGAATTTCTGCACGTATGACTCATAGTATATTCATTGACCGCAATCCTGATTGGTTGTTAGCAGTTTGTAAACCATCGATTTGTCCCTCATTATGATTGTGTTACCCTTTGATATGATTCTTGGTTCTTGGCCAATAACTAAGTGGTTGATAAATTGAATCGATGTGTTCGATGTGTTTATGTACTGTTGAATTATCTGAGTGCGAAGTTTGTAAATATGTCCTAATGTTCTGAATATTCTCTCTCTTCCAAGCTTTCAACATTTTTCCAGTCGAATCTGTGTTTACGAGTGTCCATGTTAGGTGATTTATATTTATATATGTATTAGGCTTTTATCATAAACTTTCCTATGAAATCTCAGTCTCTAATATACTTGGCACGATCATATACCGAACAGTAAACTACGACACATTTACCAAATTAGAGTGATTCTCATCATAAACCTGATGAAATCAACCCCCAATCAGTTACATTATAGGAAAGATTTTCGAAAAATTTTGAACACTGTATCACAAATGTTTATTGAATAACGACTTGACTTTTATTTATTATGTAACTGCTAGTAATCTGATTGAGCTTTAAGATGTGTTCCTAGAGTTCTAGTCAGATACCGTGACCATTGAAGGCCAATCTATGTCAAGTATGAGACAGTTATCCACCGAAGGTGATGGTTGGAGGTTGTGAGGGATCATGGATTAATTGAAGTTAACGATTATCACCGTTGAGTGTCAACTCAATAGTTTAGGTGTTAAAGCATTCACTTGAATGGTAGTGGATGCGCACTGCCGAGTTGTCACCTACTAGAACGAAACGGCAATCGAATGCTTCCAGGCCCCTAGTAGTGGTCTAGTCAAGATCACTTGATAATTTTAACTGTGAAAATATTAGAATCTCCTCTTTGAATATCAAAATATATTTTCATTCACTTTCGTTGGATAATTTGTTTAGAGTGATTTATAAAATCAGACCAGAAATAATTTGACTTATAATTATCTCCATTTGGTAATCCTATACTTGATAAACAATAAATACTTTTACTGTTATGACGTTTACTTATACTACTTATATCATTAATAATAAGTAGTTAATTTGTTTGTCTATATGTGTGTATATGTTCGTTCGACTAATTGTTGACTAGTAAATAGGCACCTGTCATTCATCATTTCACATGACTTGGTATTTTAAAGTGCAGTGTTTTTTTTAATGTTTATTTCATAGAAAACACATAGATTATTACATTTCCATAAATATGTTGAGTTTTTGTTCAATACAGGTACTTATTTTTGATAGCCTCAGAAAGACCAAATGTTTGCATGTATCAATGTATTCTTCTACACATAAATAAGCACGTGTACCAACTAATCACATTTTCATATTCATGCATACAGTTAAAAACAATTTTATTAGTGAACATTCACTTCGACATGTTCATTTATCATATTTTTATTCGATTGCTTATCTGTCAGTACATTCATTTGGTTTGCTTTGTTCTATTTGTTTTAATGCTGCAAAAACTACAAACTTCATCAGATCCTACGTTCACAAGATTCGTTATCATTGAATAAATATAGTTTGTCAACGCATAGACCAGAGGATACTTTCATAAAATACATCTCTATTGATAATAACAGTAGTCTTCACACTCATCATCATCATCATCAATCTGCTAGTCAAAAATATCAACGAGAATCATTGTTATTTCATAAAACCGATTTCAATCAATCCAAATCACAATTATCAAGTACTAATACTACGAATGATCATCATCATCATCATCAGCCAAATCTACATGAATTTGATCAGAATGAGTTCAGTCATGAAAAGTCAAAATCAATAATCGTCACTACACTCACTAACTCTATTACTAGCACTACTACTACTGCTACAACTACTACTGCTACTAGTATTTTGAATACTTCACTCGATACTACATTAGATCATTTGAAATTATATAAACAACAAAACGATCAATTCCAAACAAAACCTATTGCTCGACTTGTTCCACCTTTAATAGGACTCAATGAGATCAATGGTGTAAATGAATCACAAACATTACCGTATGATATCTGTATCAGTAATAATCATAGCAGTAGTAATAACAATAATAATAATCACACAGATAATGATGACAGTCTAAGTAATCCTAGCCAAAGTCAACGTGATCCATGCACAACTAATGAATTATCAATCAATAACAATCATAATCATAATAATAATAATACTAATAACAGTACTAATCATCTCTTACAAGATTCCTTCATACAATCAAATTGTTGGCTACCAAAAGTTGCAATGAATTCAAATCGTGTAAAATGTGATGAAATTTTATCGACTAGTTGGAATTTATTAACTATGAAAAATTGGAAATCTGATCAAGAGTTAAAACGTAAAATGGGTTTATTCAATCATAAAATTAATGGTGGATTTTGGTTTCGTGAAAAATCTATCACTCAGACAAAACCATTTGTTACTGGTCGACGACGAATGGAACATCAGTCACAGTCACAGTCACACCAACAGCAGCAGCAACAATCACAACCACAACAACAACATGGGCATCATCTTCATCAACTGCAATCTCAACAACAACAACAACAGTCGAAAGGAATGACATTCAGTGCGATAGTGAATCATTGTCCATTATTGAACCAGTACTTACCATCTAATAAAGCAGTAGGTCAATGACTGATTGATTTATTGATGTGTATTTATTGATGCTGTTCAATGAAGTGACAGACTGGAACATTGACCGATTTCAAATATCTCACTAAGCGGTTAGTCATTAAAACTAGAAATGGTTGAAATTCAATTTTATTCAATAGGTATATTGTTGAAGAGTAGCTTGCAAGGATTTGACAGTTATTCATTGATAGATATCTCAACTAAGATCAATTGGTAATGAATATATTTTACAAATGAAATCAATTTTCATTATATCTCTTTGTTAGAAAATGTTGACAATTCAAGTGGTAGGTCCGCACTTCTGATAAGTCCCATACAAGGACGAAACGGGTGTCCACTGCTTCCAGGTTTTTAAAAGTGATAGTCCAACATTAATCGATTCATAATTTCAAGAAAAATACTTTCAACATCTCATCATTTACCATTTCAGGTTGAGTATTTCTTTTTAAAGAAATAACTAATGAGATGAATATGACAACAATTATCATGAGAAAGAGTAAACATTGCAAATTTTGCTCTAGAACACAATAGAAGCGGCCGAGTAGTCTTTACTTACTTACAAGAGTGAGGCCGACAATCCATGACTCTTTATGAACTAAGACCACGTTTTAGTTTTAGTTACCGTTTGTGATAGCAAAGCCTAATTGACATATAATCTCAACTAGCTTAGTTAATGATTAAATTAAAACAAATCATTGCATTAAAAATATTTAATATAACGCTAAATTTCACTTTCTTGACACTAAACGTAAGACTGAATGATTTTGCAGTTCATAGGCTGGTAGGGTTTTGGGGATTGATGAACTTCATTGAAATTATGAATCGTTCAACCTTGTCACATGTTAGACAGGTAACCAACGAGGACAATAAATGTCAGTTTATTTAGTTGTGACCAACATGTCCAGTTATATATAAGTCTCTTAATGCCCTGATATGGTTGAGAGTTGGCAGAATCAACTTGATCTCTCTCTTTCTACCAAAATGCTCTCATCTATTCATGCACATATAATCATTGGCAAGGAAATCCTACCCACTACCTTCTCATAGCACATATGTTGTTTCTTAAACTAACAGGACGAAAAGAAGGTGTTCAACGATGTGTTGAACCTGATTGGTTGGTACGAAGTATCCGCATAGATGAGTTGGGAATCCTTGATTCCGGATCATTGTTGCACAGTGACTTCTGGATCCTGATTGAATGAAATGTTTGCTACTGCATTGAGTTTGTGATTTTTGTTAAATTTCAAAGATTAAATCAGTAAATGACCTAAATTAGACAACTTGTAAAACTCAGAAAGTATCGATAACTGTTTACATCTGCTATAAGACTGTTCAATGCTACCCATTCATGATCTTACCTCAAATTGAACCTTTAATCTTCAGATAACATGGAGAGAGCCTAAAACTTAGATTACTAAACCGGCATCGAAGGACTGATTATAATGGAATAGTCGGACATTTAGTTAAAAACCTGTTTATAATTTTGACATTTTGTGTAACCAGGGTCAGTTAATGATATGAGTAATGAATGTTTTGTGTTTATCTAACTTAAAATCTATTTTTAAGCATTTCCTATTGATTTTCGTCTTTGTTGTCAATAATATTATATTCACTGAAGTCATGGATCGACCAGTGTTACATCATCATAGGAAAATAATAAGCACTAGACGGAAGTTTCATCATAGTACTGAACTGATCAGCAGTGCTCATCCATGACTACATATAGCGATCGAACACAAGACCTTCGGTCTTGCACACCAACGCCTAACCCTCAAAATACAGATGGCATTAAATGATGTTAATGTCTAGCGTCAGTCAACCCGCGACACTGTGAGACCTCATCCATTGTCTTCGGTAGATTGATTGACTTTAGACATTAACACCGTTGGATGCCGGCTCATTGGTGAAGCAGTTAAGTATTCGTGCTCAAGATTGAAGATCCTGGGTTCGATTCCTGCATGCAGGGATCGTGGATGTGCACTGCTGATGATTCCGATACTAGAATGAAAAGGCTTTCTAGTGCTTTCAGGTCTAACATGGTGAGGTTTATGATTTCAATGAATTTCAATAATCTCCACAACTTCTACACTGTGACAAAATCATATTCATTCTTTATTTTTTTTCAAGTTACATTGTCAATATGAAACAATGCCAACGGAAGAAGTTGAAATATTTAGTTTACCTGAAGCAAAATCTAAATTTTCATTAGACAATTCATTGTCAAGTTCAAGATACAATAATGTTAGTCAAAATAATAATAATAATAATAAAGTAATTAAAATTACTAAATCCATATCACAATTGAAAAATGATACAAATGATGAATTGAATCAAACGTCAAAATCGAAACTCACCAATTTAGATTTGAATTCAACATTGAATAATTCCAATGAAATGATGACATTGAATAAAAATCTACAAAATCTCACAACCAACGTGTCCGATGTGAAAAAACTACATTCAAGTGAATATAATAATTTAGTGAAAATTGAAAAAGCACCAATTCATTTGAATTCATCGAATGGAATTCATTTTCGACACAGTCATCATCGTGAACACCAACAACACCAGCAACAACAACAGCAGGACTATACATCACTGCTAAATAATCATGAACACACATCGTCCTTATCACCATCATCATCGTCACCATCATCATCACCACGACGTCAACATAATAGTCATAATAATAAACAGAAAACTACTGTTCATGATTATGATAATGATGTGAAGAAATTAAAAACTATTTCCAATTGTGAAAACAATGTACATTTAATTAATCATGATACTTGTACAGATAATAATGTTGTTGTCAATAGTAAATCGATGGAAAGATCAATTCTAATTGAACCACATAAGCTGACTAATCAGAATAATGGAAAATATTCCACTAATTATCATCATTCAGAAGATGTTGAAACAATGTTGAAAACCAATGGGAAAATGAATATTCCAATGACTCCACATAGTAAGTAAAGAATATGAATTGTGTTTAAATTTGTTTAAATGTACTATGATTTTGGGGATCAATATAGATAGAGTAGTGAAAAATTCATCAGTTGGGGGTGGTTGGCATGTATGTTACGTATGATGTAGGGTTAGTCTGAAAGAAAGCTAGGGACGACCTAAAACAAAGAGATGGCACAAATCCATTAAGTCACTGACAAGTGGACTGAGCCATGTGGGTAAGTTGTAGACTGCCTGGTTGGGGTTCACGAGACAGTAGTAACCAATGGTTAATGACGTTAAATCATATGGCTCAACATCGTTTGCGAAATTCTAATCTTTTGAATTCCTCATGACTTTTGTCTTTCTCTCTTTACGTTTATTTTATTGGCTTATACTTTTTGAATGATATTTTTGAAATTTTCAATCTTCTATATTACTGTCAATACTTCTACTGCTTATACCACTATCGGATATAAAGTGACAATTCGATCTTTGTGTGCTAATGTGGTGTGCTACTTGAACTGATCTACGTATGTAGGTAGTTCTAAGTTGTAGCTTACTGACTGTCAATGATTCTTACTAAGTGCCAGCTCAATATTTATAAGCCAGGCAGAACACTGAACATGGATACTGTTTTGGGTGTTTAAGGTGAACTAAGTGATTTTAACTGACATGTCTAATCTACAAGGTAGTGGATCAACGTCATACAGCAGCTGGAAACCGACAATCAGTTCATTAGAATGCTGTAGCCGAAATGAAGAAATAGTTTGGAAAAAGGTTTTTTAACTCCCCTAGGTGGATCTTGGTACGTATTAGCTGAGATTAAGCGACATTTATTTGTTTTTCGTCCTCTAAATTTCCTAAATAACACCCTCATCACAAAAAGGCACCGTGTGGGACTTCCCTGACAGCGACTATAAACGTGACTCTAAAGGTGCAAACAACGACAGGTTCAAGGTCAACAACGACCAATCAAGATCAAGGTTAACAGAACAAGCTACAGGTCAATCGTGGAGAAATTCGGATACTTCACTTCTATCTGAAGTTTATGCTGATGATATTGTTCGGAAGAACAATGAAAGCTCCACAACCAAAAAATCCAGCTCAGAAAACGAAACACCACCACAATCATCCACCTGAGCTAAAAATTTTCTCCACCATCCCATGGTAAAATGTCGTAAATCTACATTACAATTGTCATTTCTGGATTAGAAACTGTTATATCTGCAAATTGTTATTATTGAGTTCATCATTTAACTGTTTTTACTCAACAATAAACAACCATTTACTTACATGAGGATAAAGAAACTGCTGAAATTTCTTTCATACATCCATCGTAAGAACAAAATTAGTCACAAAATCATATGATTAATAGAAATTAAAAAAAATACCAACTATTTCTATGCCAAATTTTAAACCGTCTTCTAATACATCAAGAAATAAATACATAAAAGTTGAATGTAAAAACAAGCACGTTAAATGATCAATATGGTACACATGAATTCATCAAAGAAATATCAATATTACTGAATGAAAGTTCATTCCTATTGTGGTGCGCGCTACTTATAAGTAGTATATGACGCGAGTGAAAGCATAATGTCTGGCAGCAGAAGATGGGGGAAGATGAAAAAAGGAAGAGCGGGAACACAATGGAATTTGTATGAAACGCATGAATAGTGAAATGTCAGACAATAGATTGATGATGGATTGAAGATTTGCAAATTATAGGTTACGATATGGTTTTCCTATTTTACTGAGTAACTTTGTAATTTTCGTTAAATACAATTCGGTTGCCCTCACTTGTGTTCTCCTTCACTACACCATCACATTGGCTAAATAAAATAATGTCAACTTTTTTTATATTCAGTCATATATCAGCTGCCTTTCTAAGGTCAGTGCAAATTCAAGCATCTCATTAAGTAGAAAGGTTGAGCTGTTCCGTATAAATGAATCTTGTTAGATAAAAAAAGACGTTAATCGTAAAAAAAAATTAATTTATACTATTGAAATTCTCTCTTTCCGATTGAATGGTCTTCATATAGAAGAGCTGTGACACTTGATGATGAAAACAAAGATTTTTCGGAAGTCACAAGTGTGATGACTCTTTTGACAAACCAGACTGTTAGGATATTTACCAAATATCCTATGAAGAATCATTTTGTAAGTGTAAATTCTGTTGATCGATTCCTATTGGTCAATATTATGATCGTCCTGACTATCAATGTCACTTTGAATGTTTTTTTCCTATTGGTCGCCTCAACTGTCAATGTCACAGACTTCGATGCTGTTTAATACTCGACCTAAATGTATAAATACGCATTATCTGTAACGTTTTGCGACTCGGACTCGGACATCGTACTTTCTGGATGTTTGTATAATACAGGTTCTACTTCATATCAAGTCTTCTTCTTTCACTCAATCGGGGTTGGGATAATCTGATTAGAGTAGCCTGTCGTGTTGCCAGACCCTCGTTCCTCGCTCACGTTTTCCGACTGAAGTAAACTTGTTATAATTCAAGCATATCGAATTGACATGTTTATGTGCGATTCGTAACACAGACAATAATAATAGTAACAGTTTTGATTATCATTATTGTGCTACGTTCAAGATTCTCTGAATATCTGATAACAATTCAACCAATAGGTATCGCCAAATCATCCTTTTTGAGTTCACCTTTCATGACTGTGTCAGATATTTTCAATTATTCTCTTCTAATACAATGAAGCACTATGGGAAATTCCATTTCTAAACATTTAGTTTTGACTATTAAATGACTACCTGAATGATTTAGAGCATAGTAAATGAGGAATTTAAATACACCATACTATGTTTCTGTCTATGATTCATGTAAGCAATTTATCAAAAGAATAAATCATGTTAAAAACGGATCTGTTCCTAGTGAGCAATTTTTACTTTAGTCAAAACAATGAAGGTTTGAATTGTTCATATTCTGGTTAGGGTTTTTTAGCGAGTTAGTTTTCTGTGTGATGAAGTCACTAGTCCCATGCCCAACCTTCCCCCTTTTTCCGGACTTGGGACTGGCAGTAGCCTCCAAGGGGCTCCAGGTTGAGTTAGTTATTTTTTAGCAATTCAATTTGAAAAAGGCTGTGGTGTTTACTGATTCACGATTAACACTTATGAAAATCTGTTAAGACAATAGTTTTCAAAACATATTTCTTCCCACAGTATTGCTAGAAAGAGACCAAATGAGTGACTGAGTTTATACTAACACTCGATTGAATACTTACTACCCAGAGAATAGATAAATATTAAACCAGATATTGGAGATATCATCAAAATAGAGAACATAACTGAGTAATGGGTAATAAGTTTATTCCACACGACTACATTCTGTCATAAGGCTAAACGACTGTTTGTCCATACTCGATCACCAATCTTATTTTACCTTCACTAACACACATCAAAGTACAAAACTGCTAGGGTTGAGCTTCTTGAGTGGGTCGTCTTAAAATAGCATTTAGTTAAATGTTTGAGTATATTCAGATTGGATAATGTGCTAGCTTTTAACATTTCAACTTCCAAAATGAATATCAACCATGAAATACACAAACATTCCTACTAATGAGTTTTGAATTGAACGAAAATGTACTTGGAAGATTGTTGGGGGCGTTAGATCTCCAGAACTCACTTGGAAAGGTCTTCAGTTTGTAATTTTATTCTGAAATTTCGAATTTCCATGTTTTCCTGCCAGTTGACCTACAGCTTACATTTCCCCCTCGAAAAATCCTTGACTGTCATTGGTTGGTTGATTATTTTAGTACGCTATTTTGTAGCTCTCCCCAGGGCGTTGCTATCATTGTATAAATAAGCCCGATTTGTATGCTTGTTGACCTCGTATTTCCTGGGTGTTTGTAGAATACACTTTCTACGCTTTATCAAGACTTCTTGCTCTAGTTAGCAACGCCGGAGACAATCAGATTAGAATAGCTTATCGCGTCACTGTGTCGTTGATCTTTGTTCCGTTTACCGAGCAGGTGAACTCGTAATCGTTTCAAGCT